TGAGGAGGTGGTGTTGGTGCAGAAACCTGAGAGTTGGGAGGAAGCTAGGCCCATGGAGAAGGTGAGGAATGTGTTCCAGGCAGAGGGCCCGCAGGTACAAGGGCCTTGAGGTGGGGACACCCTCGGTGTTCCACGAACTCGGGAAGCCACAGTGCCCTAGCTGTTATATATTCCATCAGAGGGGAAAGCAAGCCTAGATTTAGTTACACTGCTTTCTAATGAGCTTGGTGACACAGGCATCAGCCTGCAATTTGCTGTTGTTTTTTAAAATGGGAGCTCAGCTTCTGATGTTAAAAGTAAAATCGCACACATGTGCTCATGCTCACACACATACATGTGTGTACTTTTTCCCTGTGGGGAGAAAGAGGGTCCATGTGTGGGATTACTGTTTCTCCCCATCACTAATTAACTTGTTTATCATTTCTACTATACTTCCTGAACCAAATAGTTTATGCTGTTTTAATTTATTAAATGAACACAGATTAAGTGTGTATCTTGTGCCACGTATGGGTCTTGGTAGTGAACAAATCTCTTCAAGGACCCTCAGGACACTCAGAACCCAGAAAAAAGAATGGTTAAAAAAAGACACATGGAGTGGTTCCTACTCAAAAGAAAGAGATAGAGGATAGAAATGGTGGAGTGCAGCCCTGCTTTGCATGGAGCTAACAGGGAAGCCCTCTCAGAATAGGAACTTAGGTCTGGGAGAAGCATGTTCCCAGGAGAGGGAAGAGCAAATGCAGAGACTCTGGGGTGGGAACATCCTCGGAGTGAATGAGCAACAGCAGGAGGGTCTGTGTGGGTCAGGTGAAGCAGGGGAGGGCGCAGTGGGAGGCGGTTTCAAGCACATTGTGATCTGCTGGTGGGCATGTCTAGCAGAGGGCGCAAGTGAGATGCAGGAGTGTGTGTGCGGAGAGGGTGTGGTTGCCGCCACGACGCCCTTGAGCAGGCAGGAAGGACAGCTCAGTGTGTGTGTGTGTGTTGGGCTGCAGGGGGGCTTTGGAGGCCAGACAGCTTCTCCACAGTGATGGGGGGTGCAGGGCAGGCGTGTGGGCACAGAGGCAGGGAGGTTTATGGAATAGGGAGAAGAGCAAATTTAGTAGGTTCATCAAGAGAAGGGAAGAGGGCAGAGGGGGTTTGAAGAGCAAAGGGAATGTGTCAAATAATTTCTAGGAAAGTAAAAGAGGGAATATAGTGAAACACTATGCCAATATAGAAAAACACAGTTCTCAGTAGTCTGTGATGGAGAAGCCTAGAAGAAGCCTGAAAATCTTCTATTACCTGTTTGTACCTGAGTCACAGGTAGGCGGTGCCCAGCAGGAAAACACATGTCTTCAATCAAGCCTAAATCTCTGAGGTGCCAGTGGTTACCAGTGACAGGATGCTGTCATTGCTGCTCATGGACGCCCCGCCCCTCGTCCCCTCCTCCTACCCCACCTTTACTTCCTCCTCCCCTGGGAGGCGTCCTTCCCTGGGCTCCTGTCTTGACTGACACTTAAACAAATTGCTCAAGATCTTTGGTGCTTCTGACTTCTTACCTGTAAAGGGCTAATGATTGTAACTCGCTTTATAGATTTGTTGTGAAAAATAAGAGCACATGTAAGGTGCCGTGTTGGGCACATGGGTTTCCTTCTGTTATCACTACCATCAATGGGCTACTTGTGTGACTACTGCTGCAAGATCCATATGCCACACGCCCCCATCACTGTGGCCTCTGTGGCCCCAGACTGCATGGGACAGAAGAATCACCCGGGGTGCTTCCTGTAAATTCTGATTCCTGGTTCCCATCAGAATGCTGATTCTGTGTGTCCAGGGCAGGGCCTAAGATCTGCATTTTAAACCACCCACTGGTTCCAAAGGCAGTGTGATCACGTTATTGATGGTGTCTCATTGAGTCCTCACACCCACAGCATAAGATTGGTGGCGTGAGTCCATTTTAAACAAAAGAAAAATGGGGCTCAAAGGAGGCGAAATAATTCAACTAACATTTTGAAGCTGTAGACTGGTAGAGGCAGGATTTGAACCTCCATCATTTGACTCCAAAATGCATCTCTTTGAAATGAGTTAAAAGTAAAGAAACCTCCAGAATTTGGCCTGAATGGACGCAATTTTTGAGCAATAGGTATAAATTTTTCAGACATTTGCTTATCTGCCTTAAAAAAAACAAACACCCAAGCCTACCTTGAGTCCCTTGTTTCATAGATCTATCGCATCCCTATTTCCAGGAACCTAGCACACTGAAGGTGTGATAACCCACTGCCAGTGGGGTGAATCTGTGTGGGGGCAGCAGAGCTGGACACTCTCCTGGGCTTTGTCAATGCCCTTCAACCCCACTATGTGCTAATGTAGAGGTCTGAGGAAACTTACAAAATGCTTAGCTTAATCATCAGTAACCAGGCCAATTTGCTTTGGTGCCTCTAAGAGGGAGAATGCTCTGAACAAGGTCTTGGCAAAGAAGTAATCCCACAAGGTCTTTGCAAAGAAGTAATCCCGTTTGGAATGGGTTCACTCCAGAATGTTCTCCACATCAAGGCTCCAGCTGGCTTGCGTTTTCACACGTGAGACAGTTCCTTTAATGAAGCATGTAGCCTCAGGAACCTTTGTGAGTGATGGGATGGCTGGGAGGAGGGTTTGTGGCAGCACGAATGTGGTGATGCCTAGTGGGGTTGTTAAGGGCTGAGAGTGGTTAATGCTCATCTTGCTGCATGAAATGCATCCCCACAGGGCATGCATTTCAGCTCCTGACAGACCCTGAACTGGGTCTCTTTCCACACATCTGGTAGTGGGCAGGAATTTGGAAAATCACGTAATTGCTATTCCAGTGCAGCCTCATTCTCTGTCCAAATCTCAGACTAGGCTCTTTGATGTACCCTGAAGAGCAGCTGGGCAAGGATGGAAAGTGTTCTGGGCTGTAAGTAACGTTACCAGACCCACCAGACTCATAGGTCCTGGTTCCTGCACGTCCTGGCTGGCTGTGTGGTTTGGGAGAAGGCTTTTCACCTCTTTGAGCCTTTGCTTTTTTTGTCTGTAAATTTGGAATGCTTAGACACAGCCTCAGAGTGTTGTGATGATTAAGCAAAGTGAGGAAAGGTGGCCTCTCCTGGGCTCCCACAGCCGTGCAATCTCCATCCCAGCACCTTTTGGTAATAGGTGGCGTTCCAGTTGCTTTTCTCCTCTCCCATTACATTTCGCTAGGGGCACAGTCCAACTCTTTGTGTTTGTTTGTTTGATTTCACCCCAGCAACCAACACCGTCCTCTACACATTGTAGGCAATTTGGAAAAGCTGAATAAATGATGAATATTCAAACAATAAAAGGGAAGTCATGTTAGAGAGCACTGTTATACTCAGCCTCTAGCATCTTAGAACAGTACAGTGTTTAACATTGTGAGTTCAGTTGCAAAGTGGTAATAGATGAGAGGCTTGTAGTTAATGACCATCATCAAAAGTGTTAGGAATTAGGAGAGACAGTTTTTTTCCATCCTTCTGAAAAAAAATGTGGTCACTGCATGGGCCTCTGACCAAACACTGGATCATCCTCCGGGGCCTTCCAGCCTTGGATCTCAACTCTCGTTTGTTGTTTATTTGAACATCTCTGCCCCTGTCCTCTTTGTCCCTTCGGTTACATCTGCTCTTTCCCAAATGAGTAGGCTAAAAATAGGCTTGTCATAATTCAGAGCGGGAGTGCCTTGTCCTGTTTATCATCCGGTATCCTCATCTCTGTCTGAAATAGCATGGAATACAGAGTTGATGGTCAGTGCACGGCTGCTGATGGCACTAATGAACAATTGGACACCAAGATGTGAGAATCCTCCTTGTTCTCTCTGTCCCCTTATCAGTTTGGGTCCTGTTTTATGGTTATTTTTTTAACTATTGGATCCCAGACACAGAATTGGATTATGGATTATTCACAACACTCAGTTCATGAATGACATGCTTTGATCATTGGTCCTTGTGTGGTCTGCTTTAATGTGTCTGTGGAAGGATAGTTGCATTTTAAGTATTATAACAAGCATCTGTGACCTTGCAACGAAACCAAAAATAGGGCCTTGATGATAACTTATGTTTAACCATATGGCTTCCTCATCTCCCATCTCTCTGTTTCCCACAATCTGGGGTAACCATCATCCTGAATTACTGTGCTTTTCTGTTTTTTATCATATATACATATACATATATATTCTTAAAAAGTGCTTTTAATTTTGGTTGCTCTTAACTTTATAAAAGGTATATATTGTGCTTTCTTCGCACTTAATACATTGCTAAGATTCATTCATATTGTTTCATATTCATTTTAGTTGTTATTGTTCATATATTCATTCCTCATGTGAATACACCACTGCCTCCTGTGGCTGGTCATCAGGCTCTCCCTAGGATTTTGCTCTTGTGAACAGTGCTGCTCTGAATGTTCTTGAAAACGGTGCCAAGCCTTTCTTTTTGGGTTATGAGCTTGAAGATAGAATTCTGGGCTATAGTAAACTTTTGACTTCAGGAGATAATGCCAAAATAGTTTCCAAAGTCTTTGCACTGACTCATACTCCAACCACATCCTTTTCAGTACTTGTTAGCCTCAAACTTTAAACTTGGGTCTTCTGAATGGGTATAAAACAGTGCACTGAGTGCACTACTGTCTGCTGTGATCGCTGATGACTGGGAGGGTGAACATCTCTTCCAATGTTTGTTGACATTGTGTTTCCTCTTCTGTAAAATGCCTATTCTGACTTTTGCCCATTTCTTTTTACTGGACTCTGTATACTTAACATTGATTTGTATGAGTTTGGTTTATGTTTCTGATGAGAGTTCTTTGTTGACGTTAAATTCTTTGTTCAGTTATTGATTCTTGTGTAACAAACCACCCCAAAATGTAGTGATTTGAAACAATTTTTTTTCCTCACAAGTCTGTGGGGTGACTGGGCTCAGCGGGGTGGTTTGTCTTGCTCCAGGTGGGGTATTGTTGGACTAACTCAGCCTGCCTGTATTCGGCAGCTGGCCAGAATGGGCGGGATGGTCCAAGAGGGCTTCACTGACTTCTCAGGCATCTCAGACTCCTTCACTTGGTGGACTTGGGCTTTTCACACTGGGGTGGGTGGTTTGGCGGTAGTTGGATGTCTTGCCTGGAGACTAGCTTCCAAGAGGAAGGCCTTGAACATCCCAGAAGGACGTTCCTGCTGCAACAAAGCAACTAATAAAGCCAGTCTGTGTTCCAGTGGGAGAGTAACCCCAGGGTTAATAGCCTCTGCCTCTTGGCGGGTGAAGTGGCAAACATACCGAGAGGGAGAGGGAATCGTTGGCAGCCATCCTTGGAGACTATCTGCTTCTTGCCTATTGTGAATATCTTTCAACTTGTAACATTTCTTTCTACTTCTTTAAGGTGCCTTGATGAACCAATATTCTTCATTTTAATCTCGGAGATTTTGCAGGTGCAGTTCTAGACTGCTGCAGTGAAGTGCATGTCACACAAAAGCAACTCAAATGAAATTTTTGGTTTCCCAGTGCCTGTAAAAGCTATGGTTACACTGTTTTGTAGTCCATTGAGTGTGCGGTGGCATTGTATCTAAAAAAACAAAGTGCATCCTTAATTTAAAAATATTTTATTGCTAAAAAACATCAGCCATATTCTGAACTTTCAGTGAGTTATAATCACTGATCATAGGTCACCATAAAAAATACAATAATAATGAAAACGTTTGAAATATAGTGATGATTACCAAAATGTGACTTAGACATGAAGTGAACAGATGCTGTTGGAAAATGGTGCTGATAGACTTGCTCAATGCCGGGTTGCTACAAACTTTCAATTTGTGAATAATGCAGTAACTGAAGTGAGTGCAATGAAGCAAAGTGCAGCAAGATGTGGTGAGCCTGTGTAGTCAAATCTACCTCTTCTTTTGTAGTCAATGCTTTGTGAATTTTGTTTAGGAAATCTTTCCTTCCTCCGAATATGTAAAGATACTCACCTGTATTTTTCATTTAAAGATTTTAAAGTTTATTTCTGATGTTAAGTCTGAAGTTGATTTTTGTTTGTGGTTTGGCTAGGAATCTGAGTTTATTTTCCACTGGATGTAGGTTAGTCCTTCTTTTCCCACTGATCTGACATACCACCTCTGTTAGATACTAAAGTTTCCAAAAGGTCTGTTTTGAACCTTTTTTGGGTCTGTTTTGGGCTCTCTGTTCTGTCCCATAGGTTTGTTTGGTTCATCTTGCTCTGGTTTAATTATAATCACTTCATGATAAGTGTTGAAACCTTGGGCAAGTTTTCCTCCTCCTTCTTCAGCAATATCATGGCTTTTCTTGGTCCTTTACTGGTTCCATATCAATTTTAGAAGTATTATGTTCCAAGAGAATCCCTATTGAGATGTTTATGGGAATTGTATTGACTTGACAGACCAGTTTCTGGGAGAATTGACCAGTTTTTGATACTCTCTTCCAATCAAGAAAATGGTCTCTCTCCATTTACTTAGGTTTTAAAAATTCCCTTCACGAAGTTTAAATTTTTTGTTACATTTTTTTCGGAGATGCTTGACATTCTCTGATGCTATTGCAGATGGTGTTTTACCTTTAACAGCATTTTCTAGTTGTTTGCTGCTGTTGAACAGAAATGCAATGACTTTTGCATATTAATTTTGTATTTAGCCACCTTGCTAAAGTCCCCTAATATTTCTAAAAAGGTTTACAGTATATATATTTGGGGTTTTAATGTAAAACAATTTATCCTCTACAGACATTACCATTTTATTTCCTCTACTCCAAATGCCATGTCTCTGTTTTTTGTCCTGCTTTTAGAAAATCCTGCTGTTCTTATCTCTTGCTCAGTTTTCTCTTTCAATCCTTCCTGGAAACAGCACGTTGAATTAGACGTGGCTGAGACATTCAGAGATCAGCCCTTTTCTTGGTGGGTGCGCGTGGAGCAGGAAGGTTAGTGCACACGTGTATTGGAAGGTGCAGGAAGATATGCAGGGCCCCTCCCAGGGACAGTCAAGGGAGGAGAAGGCTGCCTCAGGGGTCTGTAGTTTGAGAAGGCCGTGCATCTCTTCTCCTCTGCTCCATAAGTTTCATTTTGAAAACTGTTATCAATCATTGCATTAAAAAAAAAAAACCGCATTAGGTTTTTTTTTTTCTCCCAAAGCCCTCTTCTTCTTGCCAAGGCTGTGCTTTTGGAGCTTGGTCATAACCTTGGCCTCCCTGAGAAGAAGGTGCCCCAATCCCACACCTACCATCTGTGTAGCATTTTCACATGGATTGACATCTCCATCAAGATCTCAGGAAACATTGTTTGGAAGGCTTATAGAGTCTGCAGCATTTAAAAAAGTCATCCTTCTGATCTTTTTTCACTTCTAAATCAACAGGCTGATTTCCTTCAGGGCACTACTGAATTCTTTTTGATTGTTCACATAAGCTGATTTGCCGTAAATATGACATTCAAGATGTAGGATAAACATCACTGAAACTTCAAGAAGAAAAGAAATGAAAGAGGGGGAATATTTGAATAACAATCTTTGAATAAAAAAGATTCCCCCATGACCACTTAAGAGTAACTCATAGAAGCCAGTGTTCCTAAAATTAATTTAAAAATTAGTTTTAAAGTATGTAATTAATTTTTTAGGATACATTTTTCTTTCCTTTTATTGTTCAAGGATAAATTAGATGTTATCTTATTGCTTGTTACTAACTTAAGGTTGTGGAATCTTTGTTAGAACTATTTGATTCTAACTATTTGGTCCAAAAGAAAGGACCACCTAAACTTGGCTAATATACACAGTTAATCTGAAAGCATCATCTCTGGTCTTCTTGGTTTGATAAGTTATTTCTCTACACTCGTTGCTATCAGAGTTTTTCCTAATGATGTGTGTTGAAATAAGCAGAAGTTTTTGCTCATTTTATTACCAAGGCAAAAGTCACTACCAGGAATTAACTTTAACTTATTTATCTATCTTATCAGTCAGCTTTCCAAATGTCAGTGTGTACACGAACTTGGATCATTGTGATACTCTCTTGCCTGTAAAATTATTGTTATTATAGATATCAATTTGTCTTTAATTTTTTTATTAAGGTAAAGTTGATATAAAATATTATATTGGTTTCATGTACACATAGCAATTCAACAATCATATACATTACTAAATGCTCTTAAGTTTAGTTACCAACTGTTACCATACAAAGATATTATAATGTTATTGACTATATTCTCTGTGGGGTACTTTTCATCTCTGTGAATTATTTATTTTATAATTGGAAATTTGTACCTCTTGCCCCTTCACCTATTTTGCCCATTCCCCAGCCCCATGCCCCTATGGCAACCATTAGTTTGTTCCCCCATGTTTATGAGTCTATTTCTGTTTTGTCTGTTTTATTTGTTAGATTCTACATTTAAGTAAAATCACATGGTATTTGTTTTTCTCTGTCTGACTTATTCTACTTAGCATAATACCCTTTAGGTCCATCCATGTTGTTGCAAATGGCATGATTTCTTTATGGCTGAGTATATTCCATTGCACATATATGTACCATGTATATATGCATAATTCCATTGTGTATACATTCTACATCTTTATCCATTCATCTACTGATGGACACTTAGGTTGCCTCCATATCTAGGTAAATAATGCTGCAGTAAACATAGGAGTGCATATAATTCACATCACAATATAGGTAGGGCACAGGGAAGGCAGTACAGCACAGAGAAGACATGTAATGACTCTATAGCATCATGACTCTATAGCATCTTACTATGCAGATAGACAGTGACTACAATGGGTGGGTGAGGAACTGATAGTATGGGTGAATGTTGAAACCACAATGTTGTTCATGTGAAACCTTCATAAGATTGTATATCAACGATACTTTAGTTTAAAAAAAAAACCCTCTCCCTTTCTGTGGCTTTTGGGAGCACTCTTTTCTAGCTAGAGGGGAAGTTACCTGATTCATGAATCCTTAATAGAGCCAATTAAATCTTCAAATTTAAAGCAAACAAACAAATAAAATAAACACAGGAGTGCGTATATTGCCAATTAGTGATTTTGTTTTCTTCCAGAAAATTCCCAGAAGTAGAATTTCAGGGTCATAAGGTATTTCTATTTTTAAGTAAAATTATTATGTTTTAAATGTGAATGTTCAAATTATTTCTAATTCACTCAAAATTCATATTTTAGTAATTAGCCAGAAAATTCAATTAGTAGGTGCTAAAGCTCCTGAGCCAGTGCTCTTTTTTTCTTTTTTAGACCAGGTCCTGCCTTTTATTTTGTGGGCAACAGAATCCTCTCACCAGCATGAACATGGCCAGAGCCAGTGTCCTCATCTGTGATGTAACAGTTTTATTTGGGGTAGCAGAAGGAGTAGGGTATGGTATCGGCAGAAATGACGAGATGCTCTAAATGAGAGAGACCTTGGAACTATAGCTCCTGGGCCACTGTGAAGGCTACCCTTAAGACTAATTACAAGTAATTAAATGGGTACAAATGTGAAAATTGGTAAAATGCTCTTTAGGAAAAAAAATGGGAAACATAAAGATCATTGAAAAGAAAAATACTCATAAATGTTTAGATGTCCTAGCTTGAGTTAATTATTACTTACACTTGTTACTACAAAATTTTATAGAAAGAACCCCCCAAATTTTTTGAGAAATTGCTGATGGGACCCTTCCTCTATTGGCCTCTGTGTTGTGTGGGACTCAGGCTGCACTGGAGGGTGTAGAGAAGAGCAAGCCTCACGTGATCTATGACGTCATGACTGGTGGGGCCACGTTCCCCAGGGTGCTGCTTTAGTTGCAGATGTAGCATTATATGATGTCAGAAGATACGGTTGTATGAAAACACATCACCACATATGAAAGAATCGTCAGTTACACACTGGATGAAAGTGTTGGGCGACACATTTGGTTACACAGCAGAATTGAATTTATCTTTGAACATTTAAGAATTCACTTCCTAGAGGCTCACCAGGGCAGAACACTGGCAAGTTCTTTTGTCACAGCACATTTCTGGGGAGGCTGTAGGTGTAAGTTTGCTTCTTTAACCCTATGCTATTTGGTGGTCATACTCTAAGATGACTTAATTGGGAAGCAAAGCAGTTCAAGATGTGAAGTCCACGCTGGGTCAGCATGAGCTTTTGACCCAGTTAAAATATACTCAATGTATAAGAAAGGCATATGTTCAGATTTTTAGATGGTAAGGGCTGTAAAATTCTGCGTTGCCACAAGACAAAACAGAATCAGGAGACTCTGCCTACCAAAAAAGAGTAATTCAGCAAGAAGATGAGATGCTATCAGTAGAATCAGAATTCAGTAGTGATGTCACTCCAGGTAAAAACTTCCAGTGAATTACCTACCAGCTTCTCACTCTGGTATCCACAGCCCATCCACATCTCCCCCACTTACTGCTCAAGTCTTGTCCTTCATTTCTGAGAACCTGGACCAGCTGGCTTCTGTGCCGTTGCTAGTGCTGGTTCCTCTACCCGGAACACCTTCCCTGTTTGCTGCTCACTGCCACTTACCAGAGCCCCATCCGTCCTCACAGGCAGCTTGAATCCCACCTCCCCTGCCTGCCTTTGTGCACCTCAGACCCAGCACTATACTCTGGTGGTCCCTCACTTCCCCCGTGATTAGCTTGTACTTCTCATCTCCCTGGGGACTGTGCACAGGGGTCCTCTTGGTATCCCACTGCCTGACACAGAATTTGCTGAGTAGGATGGTAAGAGTAAAAAGGATTTTCTGAGGGCAACATCTGTGCATCCCAAGTGCCACAGGCTGTTAAAGTGTCATTCAGGACAAGAAATATAATGTATATCCCAGAAATGCACTAAGCAGCGGTATAAACAGATGATGTAGTTTAAGATTAAATGAAAAAATTGTCTTCAGAATACATTTTGATGTATTTCCCAAGCTGATATCTCTAAAACTGTATAAAGCTGTCCTTGTTTACCTCATTTACTAAATTGATAGGAAAAAATTACTTGAAAATAAAACAGCTTTTTTTTTCAGGGCCAGTTCTGTGACTATTGCAATTCTGAGGATCCCCGGAAAGCCCATCCAGTTACCAATGCAATTGATGGATCCGAACGTTGGTGGCAAAGCCCTCCTCTCTCCTCAGGCACACAGTACAACAAAGTCAATGTCACCTTGGATCTAGGACAGGTAACTTATGCTTTCAACTGCAGTGGGGGAAATAAGTTTGGATCATTGTTTCCATGGTTATTTCTGATATAATAATAATTGTATTAAAAAACAAACCTCATGTTTAATTCACTAATCATTGTGAAGCCTGTTTACACTAATATTTGCATCCCTCAACACTTGGAACATTGACTTGTCATGGTGCAGACACCTCTATTAATGGAGCTTAAAAACAGTTGTAAATAGTGTCATTGGCAAATATTTTTAAAACTTTTATTTTTCATTATGGTAAAGTATATATAACATAAAATGTACCATCTTGACTGTTTTTAAATATGCAGGTCAGCAGTGTTAAAGACATTCCTGTTGTTGTGCAACCAATTTCCAGAACTCCTTTTCATCTTGCAAAATTGGTGCCTGTGCCCATGAAACACTAACTTCCCATTCTCCTTTGGTCCTACTCTCTGGCAACCACCATTCTACTTTCTGTCTTTATAAATTTAGGTCCTTTCTATGAGCTGCAGTCCTACAGTATTTGTCCTTCTGTGTCTGGCTTATTTCACTGAGCATAATGTCTTTATTTAGCTTGTACTTCTCATCTCCCTGGGGACTGTGCACAGGGGTCCTCTTGGTATCCCACTGCCTGACACAGAATTTGCTGAGTAGGATGGTAAGAGTAAAAAGGATTTTCTGAGGGCAACATCTGTGCATCCCAAGTGCCACAGGCTGTTAAAGTGTCATTCAGGACAAGAAATATAATGTATATCCCAGAAATGCACTAAGCAGCGGTATAAACAGATGATATAGTTTAAGATTAAATGAAAAAATTGTCTTCAGAATACATTTTGATGTATTTCCCAAGCTGATATCTCTAAAACTGTATAAAGCTGTCCTTGTTTACCTCATTTACTAAATTGATAGGAAAAAATTACTTGAAAATAAAACAGCTTTTTTTTTCAGGGCCAGTTCTGTGACTATTGCAATTCTGAGGATCCCCGGAAAGCCCATCCAGTTACCAATGCAATTGATGGATCCGAACGTTGGTGGCAAAGCCCTCCTCTCTCCTCAGGCACACAGTACAACAAAGTCAATGTCACCTTGGATCTAGGACAGGTAACTTATGCTTTCAACTGCAGTGGGGGAAATAAGTTTGGATCATTGTTTCCATGGTTATTTCTGATATAATAATAATTGTATTAAAAAACAAACCTCATGTTTAATTCACTAATCATTGTGAAGCCTGTTTACACTAATATTTGCATCCCTCAACACTTGGAACATTGACTTGTCATGGTGCAGACACCTCTATTAATGGAGCTTAAAAACAGTTGTAAATAGTGTCATTGGCAAATATTTTTAAAACTTTTATTTTTCATTATGGTAAAGTATATATAACATAAAATGTACCATCTTGACTGTTTTTAAATATGCAGGTCAGCAGTGTTAAAGACATTCCTGTTGTTGTGCAACCAATTTCCAGAACTCCTTTTCATCTTGCAAAATTGGTGCCTGTGCCCATGAAACACTAACTTCCCATTCTCCTTTGGTCCTACTCTCTGGCAACCACCATTCTACTTTCTGTCTTTATAAATTTAGGTCCTTTCTATGAGCTGCAGTCCTACAGTATTTGTCCTTCTGTGTCTGGCTTATTTCACTGAGCATAATGTCTTTAAGGTTCCTCCATGCTGTGTCAGAATTTCCTTCCTTTCTAAGATGGAATAATATTCCCTTGTTTGAATGTGCCACACTTTGTGTATTCACTCATCTGCTAGCGGACGCTTGAGCTGCTTTCACCTTGAATAAACATGGGGATTGCAAGGATATTTTTATAGCATTTTCTTTCCTGGAAATCCTGCCTTTATGAACACTTGATACCATAGTTTTTGGTCTCATTTGGCCGGCTGGTCCACAAGGGAACCCACCTTCAGGGCTATGATGGCCCCCCAGATGCCCTCCCCCTGCTGTAAGGCCTGGCGTGATCCCTCCCCTCTGAGTGTGGGTAGCACTGTGCACTTGATGGGTGTCAGTGCTGTGACAAGGTGCCTTTGAGTGACAAAGATAAAGGGATTTTATAGATGTGTTCAAGGTCCCAGGTCAGTTGATCAGAAGGGAGGTTATCCTGGGGGATTTCTTCTACTTAGGGGAGCTTTTAAAAGGGGCTGGACCCTACCGAAGGAAGAGATCTGAAGCATGAGAAAATTTCCTGCTGGTCTTGAAGGGGAAAAATGCCATGTTAGAAACTGCTTCTGGAGATGGCCAGTGGCACAGACCCAAGAATGGGTTCTAGAAGCTGAGAGTGATATCAGCCAACAGCCAGGAAAGAAACAGGAACTGTAGTCCTACAACCAATTCAGCTGTCAACTGAATTCTGCCAACTACATGTGCAAACCTGGAAGCAGGTCTTTCCAGGCATCCAGTGGACTTGATCTCCGCCTTGACCCTGAGCAAAGAACTCTTAGACTCCTGACATGCAGAACTACAAGATAATAAATGGTGGTGTTTCACCACTAAATTTGTGGTAATTTATCAAGCAGCAATAGAAAATGAATGCAGCTTCTTTCCTCTTTCAGACTGTGGTGTGAATTTCATACTATTCCTTCAACAAATATTTACTGAGTGCCTTCAGTGTGCCAGGCCCTGTTCTAGGTATTTGGGATATGTAAGAGAACAAAAGACATGGAGATACCTTCCCTTGTGGCACATATTCCAGTGTGGGGGTTAGCCAACAAAAATATACACAATAAATACATAAATACAGTATGTTAGAAGCTGATAAGAGCTATGGAAAAATGAAGAAGTAGATCAGGTTAAGAGGATCATGAGTGTGAAGGACAAGGGTGGTCTGCAGTTTTAGTTGGAATGGTCAGGGGAGGGTTTATTGAGCACAGATTTGAAGCAGGTGAAGGAGTTAGTCATGCAGTCAAAGGGAACAGCCCTGCAAAGTCCCTAAGGCGGGAGCAGCATGGAGACCAGAGTGGCGGGAGCAGAGTGAGGGAGGGGGAAGTGGTGACAGGAGGCTAGAGAGATGACAGGCAGGGCCAGATCAGGCAGGGCTCCACAGAAACCACTGGGTTTTCTTAGTGACATGAGGGCCATTACAGAGTCTCAAGCAGAGGAGTGGTCTGATCTGATGTATATTTAAGAAAGATTTTTCTGGCTGTTCTGTTGAGAATTATCAGGGGGCAAGGGTAGAAACCAGTTAAACTGTCACAATAATCCATGAGAAAGATGCCAGTGGTGGCAGTGAATGTGGGTGATTGGATTCTAGATGTATATTGATGATAGAGCTGCCACAACTTCCTAGTGGACTGAATATGGAGTGTGAGAAAAATGAGGATTCAGGGATGATTCCCAAGACTTTTGGTCTGAGTGCCTGGAACTGCTGTTTATAGAGAGATGTTGTAGACTGTGGGAAGAGCGGGCTTGTGGGAGGGAGACTGTGGGAGGAGTTAATTTAGACCTGCTAAGACTGAAATAACTGTTTGGATGTGCAAGGGAGCTGTGGACTGGGTACTTGGAGATGTAAGTCTTGAGGCTGGTCTGGAGACAGATGCTTGTTGTAGATTTCTGTAGGAGTTATCCTATTTAGAATTTCTCAGCTTCTTGAATCTGTAGGTTTAAATCTTTCACCAACTTTGGGACATTTTCACCCTTCCCTCCTTCCCTCCCTCCCTCCCTCCCTCCTTACTTCCTC